AGAAGAAAATGCCATTTTCAGGAAAATGAATGGAACTGGAGATAATCATATTAAGAGAAATAAGCCAGACTCCCAAAGACAAGTATCGTGTGTTTTTTCTCATATGTGGAAACTAATAAAAAAGAAATGACCTGGAAGAAGAAGAGGAACTTTTATGGAAAAGGAAGGGGACAAAGGGGAGGCAGGCAGGAAGAGATTGTAGGGTGTGTGTGGCCGCTTCTGAGCTATAGAGCTTCTTCTCTCAGCCTCGAGCCAAGGAGGTTTTGGGCTGGTTGCACACTATTTGGTGGCTCCTCCCACTGATGGATTGCGTGATGCATGTTGCCTCTACCTTCCCTGGGCCAAGACATGTGCTTTCTCATAGCCCTGGAACTGAGCGTTACCCATAGGGGCTTGGACAGCCCACACCCTGCCTTATTTGGTGAAGAACATTCTATGGAATAAATAAATTCCCTATAAATAAAGGAAAGGCAGGTTCTCCCTCTCCCTCTCCCTCCCCCTCCTCCTCCCTCTCCCTCTCCCTCTCCCTCCAGTGTGGAAGCAGGATGCTTAAGTTCGCAGAGCCATCCTGCCCTCGATTTAAGAATTATTTCTGTGTTGTGTGATTTTTCGTCATATCTCTCAGCCAGCACATTTCATGGAGGGAAACCCAAAATTCATAGCTCTTGCGGATGTGGGTGAGTGGTATAAGAATTGGCAGTAGGGAGGGTGAATACAATAAGAACATGTTGTAAGCATGTATGAAAATGTTACAAACAAATCTGCCAATTTGTACAATTACTATATACTAATTTAATTAATGAATGAATTAACATCTCCAAGGTAAATTGTTCCAGAATTCCTAGGAATAATTTGACTGGAGTTCCTGTATCCACTTCATTTTTGGCAGGGATTTTTCTGTATCTTTCTCTCTGTCTCTCTCTCTCTCTCTCTCTTTTATTATAAAATTCAACACCATTTACACCGTAATTCACTTTTCTAAAAAACACAAACACAAGAAAAGAACAAATGCATCCAAGGCTCACCAGCCCTTGGAGGACAGAAGAAGCCCTGGACAGGGAACCTGCAAACATTTTTCCTTATGCCTGATGTCTCCGCGTCCTTGTTCACTCTAGGCTTCCACCTTCTGTCAACTCTGACAAGGGGAGGAAACCGACTAGAAGAGTCACGGACAAGAAGGTCACAACCAACTTTAAGGCTATCTGATGCTAAGACCTTTTATATTCTAGTCTGGAACTTTAAAGATATTGGATGAGCACTGTCAAATACCTACTCCCCACTGTTTTACTGTCCTTATTCTTTGAATTACCTTTGGGACTGGTTATGTTCTTTCATGGTAGTTTCTGTTTATCCCAGAGCGCAAACCCTAAAATCCATGTGCAGTCTCCATGCTCAAGTATAAAGTTGCTTGAGAACCACCCCGTAGCTGTAGTGTTCATACTCTGTAGTGCGTACTGGGTGTCACACCCTTGGACAAGTAGGTCCAGTGACAGCCCAACACAGGGGACACACACAGACAGTGTTCCCACTGCCAAACTTGTTCCTGTTCTGTCTGGACACTGCCCCACAGTTAAGGTAGAAATCTTGAGTTCAGTGCCCCCCACCCCCCAGCCGAATGAAGTCATGCTGTCTTGGATCAGGGATCCATTTCTTCACCATTAATTAAATGGAGTTTTCAAAAGGTGCCAGGAATATTCTTAGGAATATGTCCTGGGATGGGGCTGGCAGGTCCTGGCTCTCTGGCTCAGGACGGGGTGCTGGCACAGATTCTTTTTTCTGGGCAGCCAGGAATTCATGAATCGCTCCTTCAATCTGTGGCCTGAAGAGGTGGTTAGTTTTGGATCCACCACCTGAGCAATAATCCTGTCTACTGCTGCTTCCAGCCTCCCTTGACAGAACCAGGCTCTGCCTCAGCCAATTTTGGAACTGGTTCTTGTTCATTGCAGGATTCCATTCCTGCTTGTCCAGATGTGTCCACCCCAAATTATTCACTTTTGCCTCAGGTTTTGGGAAGGTGGTTTGGAGTTCACGTAGCCAGGCAGTCACTGCAGAAGCTGTAAATCAGGCCACGGCTCATGAGCGGCTCCATAATGAGCGCAATGAGCTGTGCCTTGCTGGGTGGCAGCGAGTGGGGGTTGCTAGGGCCGCCCCTGCTGACCTGTGCAACTCCTGCTCTGGGACTGGGGGTCTGCGTTGTGCGCATTGTGGGCGGGAGGCGGAGAGGCCCACGAAGGCGGCGGCGACAGCGATGTCACTGGAGATGGCAGCGATGGTAATTGAGCTCATTAACATGTTATGGTGTTTTGGGTGAATTTGCTTTGGGTTCCTCGTGCTTATTTGACTGGCATGCTTGAGCTAAAATATTTCTTGGGAGCTCCTTTAAAATAATTCTTCAACTGCAATTGCAAAATTAGCTTGTAAAAGATTTTAGCCCTTTACCTACCTATTTCTCTCTCTCCCTTCTGCTTTTTTTTTTCTATTCACTGAGGAAAATGGGTGGGGACATTGAATATTCCTAAATTGGTTTCTTACATGATAAACTAGAGGCCTTGAGTAACAACAACAATAAAATATGTATGAACTTCTGTCTGGATATATATAAATTTTGATGCAATGGGAAATATTTTGAAATTTAAAGGATGTTCTTTCTATAACCCCCAAACCTGTAACAAATCAAAACAGGAAAGAAAGCTCAAGAGAGGCATCCCAAGAATGGGTGGGTATAGGAAGTGTCATTTGCCTTATACATTGAAGGGCTATATTTGATTAGAAAGCATGTAAGATTAAAAAGATTTACCAACTCGGTAGTTGTCCAAAGTATGACCTTCTGACTCATCCATGACAGGCATGAAATTTTTCTTCTTCATAGGGGCCACCCCAAATAGGCCAGTTTCTCAGCTCCTTCACACCAGAAATTCCCAAGGGAGGTGTCACCTCTATCCAGCACAATTCAAAGCAATGATTCATTCATTCCCTGCTTTCCTCTCCTCCTTGGGTTAACTTTTAAAATAGAGAAAGGCATGATCTCAAGGTTGCCCAACAAGCCTCCCCTTTCAACCTAGTGGCTTTCACTGGGATTTTGCTCATGTAGCCCAATTAATGGTGCTTTCTGTTACATTCCACACCTTTGAAATGAGTCAGACCATTGCAAGTCTAAGCCACAAATATCCAAGTCACAGTGGGATCCCATCTAAGTGCTTCAGAGCAGCAATTGAAGTGATTGAGCAACACGATCTGTGCTGAGCCAGCCACGGGCACCAACTGATCCACCAGTTCAGGCCATGGGGATCATAGAGATCACAGACTAAACCCACCTTGGAATCCACACATACTGGTCTTGTTATACTGATACCAAGACCCTCAATAACTCTCAGACCACACATTGCCTTTCCAATTAAGCCTTTATTGCTGGCCAGTGGCAGATACTCTACTCTCTAAGAGTAACATAATCAGAGTGGTGCACCATCTTCAGTTTGGCCTCATATTTAAGCCAAAAAACCACAAAAGGGACATTAGGGGGTTTAGCCAATGCAAGCAAGCCAAGTTACAGAAGCGGGAGATTGCAGTCAGGCGGCAGGAGGCTTAGCCAATCAGAATAAGCCTAGTTACCCTAGTTACAGAATCAAGAGCCCAGTTATCCCTAGTAACCGAAACAGGATAGTATGCGTTTCCACAACAAAAGGAAAAACAACTTGCCCCAGTCATGATCTTTCTAGTTGGCATGGCTGTTTCACAAAATGGAGTTACTAAACAACATGGAGTCACTATAGTCCAGACTTCTGTCTCATCACAGTCCCAATCCCCATCAGAGAGGCAGAACTGCTCATTTTAAGCGGAGTGTCTTCAGCTTCCTTCCACATTGCACACTGGACTTCCCACTGCATAGAATTCTCAACAGACTTGGGCCAAACTCACTTCATTTGGGGTGGGAGCCCATTGATCAGTGAAAAGAGGAGGCCATTCAATCTTGAGATACAAAATTTCAGGGGCATCTGATCTACCAAGAAGTAAGCTTAGATGATGGGACTCTATTTAAGAGGGCTTCCTTGTCAGGAGTAGTGAATGAATCATTGCTTTGAACTGCATGGAGAGTGGTGATACCTCCCTTGGGAATTTCTGGTGTGAAGATGCTGAGAAAATGGCCTATTCAGGGTGGCCCCTATGAAGAGAAAAAATTCCATGCCTGTCATGGAAGTTTTTAGTTCAATAGCCTGGAGTTCAAGCATCCAGGAGGTATGTGTGCAAGGTGATCAGCTTTACCTGGGCTGTTTCACTTGCAGTGGGTTAACTAACACAGGCCCGAATACAAAAATAAACTAAGGATACTCTGAAAATTAACACTGGGTAAAGGGAGAGTTCCCCTCTCCTTTCTCCACCAGCTTGTTTTCAAGGAACCTAATTGGCACCATTCACTCTCACCTTCTGGACTGTAAAGGACTTTCCCTGGGATCTAACTACTTTCCTTTGAAGTGAAATGCCCACCCCACCATGTCTCCCTCCCTGCCCAAGGCTGGAGGCCTTGAAGGAGGAGCCAGTTCCTTATGGCTCTCACTCAGCTTTTGTAAACACACTTCCTGCTTGAAAACTCTTACACACACTTGTATATCCTTTTTTAAAAACTTGTGCACTACCATATATCATTATTTTGACTAGAAAATTTATGACACTTTATAGCCTATAAATGTTGTGGAAAACTAGGAAGGGGTGCTCAGAATCTGGAGTGCTGATCTCTTCTGGGCCCCCTAGCATAAAATAAAGTTTGGTTTCTACCATTTTTGAGTTCCACTTGCTGCTTCTTGCCTGATTCCCACAACAGACTCATGAACATTGTTTTTGTTTATCTTGAAGAAGCTCTCTCACACTGAATCCTTTTGATGTTTAAACCTGTATAATAAACATGTGGAACTTGTGGCCTGTCTCCCACCAGGAGTTTGGTTCATCACCATGTTCTGCTTTCTCTATATTCTGTGTGTGTTTATCGTCTTTTTTCCTCAATCCTCTCACTGTGGCTGACTTTCTGGAAACTGAATAAATGCTGCACAGACTGCAGCCATTAGCTGCAGGCGCGGCTGCTTTTGTCTCTGCCATCTTGTGGTCAGGGTTTTCTGGGCGTCTGCGACAGTAATTGAAGTTGCGCAGTACCGACCTTGAGGTGGCTGCTGACCTTGGGTCTCATCTCCTTGACTTTCCTTAGCCTCTTCCTTGCCGTCCTCTCCAGGCTGTCTTGGAATCGTGGTCTATAACCCCATACATATGCTGTCTCGGGGTCTGCCTTGTTCTCCTGCACCCTGGATGTCAGCACCCTCCATCACTTCCTCCTGCACGGCAGGGTTGGAGTACTGTGGTCAACGCCCCTGGGGTCTCCGCATGCAGTAAGGTGGGAACCTCCGCCACTTAGATTGAAAAATTTTACTGTTCCCAAAACCTTGGTTGCCATGACCTTATTGTCCCCGCCTGCAGGCATCCTGGGCCACCGTTCCCTGCGCGGCTGCCCATGGTGCCAGGCTTGGTGTTGGCAGCGCTGAGGGCGGGGCGGCGGGCGGGCAGCTGTGGCTCCTCCCGGGTGGGATGGTGACCAGGCCGGCGGCAGCCGTGGGGTTGCTCAGGGCTCTCTGGGGTCCGCTCTCCGCTCCCGATCGAACTCTATTTTTATTTTATATGGGTTTCATTGTGACACTTTCAGACATGCTTACAACATACTTGATCAGATCCCTTTCTATTACCTTCCTTAATCTCTTCTCCCTGACTCCCTTCCCATTCCCTAGCAGTCCTTCTACTTTCATGTTATTTTTTTTCTTAATTCCACATGAGAGAAAACATGTGATGCCTGTCTGAGTCTCCCTTGTTTTGCTTAACATGATGGTTTTCAGTACCATCCATTTTCCTACAAATGACATGATTTTGTTCTTCCTTGTGAGTAATACTCCATTTTGTAACTATAATAACATTTTTTAAATCTATTTATCTATTTTTTTTTCAAATAAAGGTCCCAACTCTCCTGTTGGTATACCTAGATAAGGCCTTATCCAATTTATGTCTCCCAATAACTTTTTTTTTATTGGTTGTTCAAAACATTATAAAGCTATTGACATATCATATTTCATACATTAGATTCAAGTTGGTTATGAACTCCCAATTTTACCCCAAATACAGATTGCAGAATCACATCGGTTACACATCCACATTTTTACATAATGCCCTATTAGTAACTGTTGTATTCTGCTACCTTTCCTATCCTCTACTATCCCCCCTCCCTCCCCTCCCATCTTCTCTCTCTACCCCATCCACTGTAATTCATTTCTCTCCTTGTTTATTTTCCCATTCCCCTCACAACCTCTTATATGTAATTTTGTATAACAATGAGGGACTCCCTCCATTACCATGCAATTTCCCTTTTCTCTCCCTTTCCATCCCACCTCATGTATCTGTTTAATGTTAATCTTTTCTTCCTGCTCTTCCTCCATGCTCTGTTCTTAGTTGCTCTCATTATATCAAAGAAGACATTTGGTATTTGTTTTTTAGGGATTGGCTAGCTTCACTAAGCATAATATGCTCTAGTGCCATCCATTTCCCTGCAAATTCTATGATTTTGTCATTTTTTAGTGCTGCGTAATACTCCATGGTGTATAAATGCCACATATTTTTTATCCATTCATCTATTGAAGGGCATCTGGGTTGGTTCGACAGTCTAGCAATTGTGAATTGTGCTGCTATGAACATCGATGTAGCAGTATCTCTGTAGTACGCTCTTTTAAGGTCTTCAGGGAATAGTCCAAGAAGGGCAATAGCTGGGTCAAATGGTGGTTCCATTCCCAGCTTTCCCAGGAATCTCCATACTGCTTTCCAGATTGGCCGCACCAGTTTGCAGTCCCACCAGCAATGTACAAGAGTACCCTTTTCCCCACATCCTCGCCAGCACTTGTTGTTGTTTGACTTCCTAATGGCTGCCAATCTTTCTGGAGTGAGATGGTATCTTAGGGTGGTTTTGATTTGCATTTCTCTGACTGCTAGAGATGGTGAGCATTTTTTCATGTACTTGTTGATTGATTGTATGTCCTCCTCTGAGAAGTGTCTGTTCAGGTCCTTGGCCCATTTGTTGATTGGGTTATTTGTCGCGACCCCTTGCCCGCAAGGAAGACGCAACACTCGGGAATCT